AATTTTTATTCTATATTTTCGACTTCTTTTTTCGCGTAGAATCACCCCCTTTCCGCTTGTACCACCAGTTACCAACCACCCTGTATATAACAAGAAAAATAAAAGACTGCGTTATCGTGACCGCTTAAATTATGGTCGACGAACAAGAACTCTAATATCGCGTACAAAATTGTTTGATAAAATTTTATTACTTTCGCGTGTAATTATTTGATTGAATTTGATCAAAACTATCGTGCTTTGAAAATATTGAAAAAGACACTGAAGCGTAGTAAACACTGACTCACAACTAACTGATAAAGCTCGCATTGCGCGGTCACAAATATTCTCTGGAAATATAGTTCTGTAATAGCGGGCGGAGGGAGGAGTGTGTGTAAAAGAAGGGAAATATCGTTTCGACATTTTTCTTTTTTTCCCTATCGAACGTTTATTTAGAGGATACAGCTATTTTTTTACACTTAAAAGATTATTATTAAGGAATTGGAATAAGTATGAAAAATGTTGGTTGAAAATTATAAAATATTTCTCAATATTGAACAAGTGCTTATGAATACCGTGAATGCAATGCAATCATTTGCAAGAATTATATTGTGAATGTTCGTTATTAGAATACGAAATATACACTCCACTATCACACTATAGTCGCGTGTTATAAATATTCGAAAATATTTGCAAGAATTCAAAAATTCACAACTAAATATCCTTGGAGAGTACTATATAAACGCGCGCGAAAGGTTCCTTTGAAGTATTTGGATTTAACTGCGCGCCATCTCTGTGAGAAACGTACAAGTTACAAAATTTCAAGTATACGACGTTAACTGTAGCAAATTCACATAATATAGCAAAAAAATTTAAATTTGGTAAGTGAATGTTACGATACCTATCGAAATTAGTTCAATTAAGTTCTATTGTTATTAATATTTCTATGTTTCAAACTTTGTCTACACGAAGCTATCGTTAAATTATTAAGAATTATTATCTATATCCCGGATTACCTTGGAACGATAATTCGTTAAAAATTCGTTTGAAATAAGAGAATGATTTCATATATATTCAAATATTTCATAAATATAAATTGTATATCAAATATTACCCATGTTCAAATAAGAAGACAATATACAGTTCATATACAGCTGTTTTAGTTAAAATATTATTATTAAAATGAAACATTACCAAATTTCCATGAAGATTCATCGGATTGATGACTAATTGTTGTTGCGTCCATATATTAATATTCCTGTTTTATATTATCCCTGCTATCGATCAATAACTGCACAAAAAATAACGAAGTTAAAACAAATGTATAAAATAATTAAACGAAAATACAATCAAACTTAAATTTTATTACAAAAGCTTACGATAGGAGCTACCGGTAACAGTATCATTTGGTAAATAGACGACTGTAGAAAAATTGAAATAAGAAATTTCAGGAAACCACTTAATTTCATCACCTTAATGTTAGACGAATCGTTAAATAAAAGCGTATTAATTAAATGGTATTTATAAGAAGATATAAATGATAGCAAAAAGATAATGAAGAAATAACACCACCGAAAACGCGTCACCAATAGGTTAGAATACGTTACACACCTGACTCAACACGAACCTTGTTATTGGCACGAAATAAAACAACTGAATGACCTCTCGTACCTTAGTCTCGCTGCGCAACTTCCAAAGCGGTGGGGGGTCACGCAAGCCGATACGGAAAGTTAAGCGATCTACAAAAAAAAACGTAAACATTACTACGCAGTAAACAAAACATTCGTCATCCACGCAACACTTGTTTCCAAATTTCAAACAAAACATATGTACATCGCGCAATACTTATATCTTACACAATGATAACATCGATTTTTATAAACATCGTACAATAATTCGTAGCCCTACTGACAGCATTGAGTATCAAAAACACATTTGTCTAACTTGGAACGAGAAAAAGAAAATAAAGCTACTGACATTGTATATACAATTTCGTAAAGTTATAAATTCTAACATGACTGCAATAAGCTTTCCTTAAAAATGGGTAAACAAGGGGAACCTCGATCGATCAAACCATGAAAGAAAAATGGCGGCATGCCCGAAACGAACGAAATCACGATCTCTCAAAGAACTAACGAACCTACACGACGCACCCCCGTGCACGAAATAACTCCAAGTTTCAGCGGAAAAAACAAGGATTGACCGTCACCGAATTCCTATTTCGCCGCTTGAATTGCAGCTACTTAGCTCCTATTACTTGCCGTTATTATATTATAATTATATTATTAATAATTATATCAGTTATAAGATTAATTGCTTTGCTGTATAGAGTGGGCTGCCGCCTATGTGTCGTTCGACTTGAGGATCACTGTGCGCTTCGTTGCGTAGGCTGAGCCTCTTTCACTTCTGTAAGGAAGGTTGCCTGCGTGCAGGAATATTTTGGACGATTTTTAATTGTCAATAACTAAAAAGCAAAGCCGAAAAGGCAATTTTTTATTCTTGATTTTCGTCTTATTTCGGCTTCACGAATCACGCCTTAAATTTTCTGACATAGCCGAACACCTTGTATATTATTCAATGTTTATTTAACGATTCATTGAACATTAAGATAATGAAATTAAGTAATTCTTCGAAATTTTTTCTGTCATTTTTTCTTCTTTAAACGTATATTTTATTGCTAGTATTACCGACAGCAATTACGTTCTTATATAGAACGTATAATTAGAAGATTTGTTAGGATATTAGCTAAATTTTCATTCTTGGAATATCTTATCTGAGAGAGAGAGTGGGGGAGAGAGGATTGAAATAACACGAAAGAAATAAACACTAAAATAGAGAATCGAATCGATTTCGCTGATCGAATCTCAGAGATTTTACGAATCGTTTTAAGGCGCTCAGGAACATATGGGTAAGAAAATAGAAATTGTAAAATCGTTTTCTATATAATTTAATTCAAGAAGGCATAATAAATATTTTCTCAAGGAATAACAGCATCTGTACAGAATAGTACTTTCATCGTTTGCAACAAATATAAAATTACAACTATACAATTCGAGAATAAATAACATCGTGATAATTTTATTATAGTAAACAATTTCTCTCGTGTAAAGCTATTTAGGAAGGATTGCACTTTCCAAACCCGAGGCACTTGCTTCGTGTATACGGACTGAAAAGTTTGCAGTTTCTATTTTGTTCTTCTACTATGCTCTATGATGTAGAACAAAAGCCCTGCAACTTCCGTCAAAACGAGCGATCCGTTATAATAATTATATAATCGTCTAATCTATGCCCCATATAAAAAAAAAAAGAAAAGAATAAAAGAGAAATTTATCACCACTAAGTACTATGATAAGCGTGTTCGACGTGATGTAACGATGTCACATGTAACGTGATTGATTCTTTTTTCCTTTTTCCGTCAACGTTTTGACACAGGCGAAAACTGGATATACGAACGAATAATCAAAAATTTTGTGCGTAATATAAGAATCTTATGACTCGGTGAAATGGACGATACGAAGCGACTAAAAATTGGAATTAGAGTAAAAGATTAAAAATACTTTGTGTGTTGATTTCTTCAGTCATTTCTGGTAACAGAACTCAACTTGATAATATAGTAATGGTTTATAACGTTTATATACTATCGCATGATGCCTGAATTTTAGTCGAATTTAAGCGTTAGGAACATATTCTTTGGATATGTAAGAAAGCAAAAATGCTGTTAAAAAGTGGTCGATATCAAAACTAAAAAATATAGTATAATCCTTCGACTAACCTAAGGTAATCGAAGAACGAACATGATGGCGAACTTTCTAATAAATACAAAAATAAATATAATATTTCGTTAATAAAGAAATATTCTACACACCGTGGTGTAACAACGTGTAACAAAGGATAATATCATTTTTGGTCGCACTTTATTAAAATTCAAGCAACCTGTATACGTCTGTGCACGTTAGGATGATCAATAAGATATTTTTAAGAAGATTCGATTAAAATTTTTCTTGAAAATTACGAGGAAGTCTTAGAGAATTCTTATGACATCTCAATGTCAATTGTTTTATGTTTTTGTTAAAACTTCCGTCTTTCATTTGTCAACCATACGCGTAATCGATCGTATCAATATAATATTAACATATATTTCTAACAACTTGTTTCTACAAGACGCTTAATGTTATTGCACCTAAGTAACAGGAAATTTTACCCGTCTCGAGCTACGTTATCTTATAACGCTAATCGCGTTAAACACTAAAATAAATTGCTTCGACAAGATGAAGCACGCGATCAGAGGAATTCAATATATGTATATATGAAATATATTTTACAAAACATGAAGTCTCGATCAAAGTATCTTGGCTTAAATCAATAAATAGTTTTACTAATTGTAATACCATGTATAGTAATAGTAACTATTCCACTTGCTTTCCTAGCGAGGATCGAGTGTTATTTATAGTATCGAGTAATTATACTGCAGTCACTTTTCTCGACTCAAATCGACGAATATATTGCATAAAAGATAGGTCAAAAAATATATATATACTTGGAACGCAAAGGGACATACCGGTCCCTTTCCCTCGTTTTCTTCTTTTAATTGCATATTATTCTTTTCACGAACTTCTGTCTTTTCGAACGTGTTCGCATAAAGAAGAAAAAATACGTTTTTCTTTTTATATAAATGTCATGGTTGCATGCGTGAACGCTTAATGTTTCATCGTGTAAAATATTGCTCTGTTTTTCTTCGGTTTTGTCCTCCAAAAATGCGCCAATTTCGCAACGAAGTATCTAAACGTCGACACGATTGCTTGGAAAGATATGCAGTCTGTTTCGAAGGAAATCGTACAAAGTCCTACATACCTCAAGTATCGAGAATGTTTGGACAGGGAAATGCTGCTTACGAAACACTTTACGTAAATACGATACTGTATCCGTTTATCTGTCGTTCTCCTTTCGATTATCATTAAATACAACGTATCTAACCGAAGCAGCCTTTCGCTTTTTTCGTTTATTTCTTACTCGGCGCGAAAACAATGGAAATTTCTACTTCCAACAATAAAATACTTCGCTCGATGTTATATTCGATTATTAAAATATCTTTACTGTGGAAGCAAATAGAGATATTCTAGGAGCTTACTTTCAATTTTTTCCGAATATATGTGCAAATACAGGTAACTATGTTTCGCTCTTTTCAGAAATCCTCGGCATTGTTGCGTTAACTGTTCGGTAACTTAATTTTTCTATTACATCAGTCTCAAATGTAGATTAAGCGAAAATAGTTGTCCATCAAAAGATCATACCGGTATTTTCGCTCGCTCCAACTGATCGTTTCTCGTCTTCGTAACTGGAACCTACGGTAGATTTCATACACCATAACTAAATCGGCAGGATTTTAATCTCCAGTGAATCGAACGAGCTATACAATTGCATATCTTTCCGACTCTAAAATACGGTTCGAATAAACCACACATTCACCATCGTGAAAACCATACCATTCGTTCGGAAGCACACGCCTGTTTCGATTCAAACAACAATGGCCACGAACCGATTTACACGCTCGTTTTCCTATACGATATTTTCGCATATTTTCCGAGTACGCCCTCGGCGCGCCTATAGAAGTGCATCATCGATTTCTGTCGTGAAATCACGTGCTTCCTTTCCTGTCAAAGAATCGACACGTGCTCCGATTTTCTATTCTCTGACAGCATAGCTACCCTCTCGTCCGCTTGAACATTGCCGCCGTTTTTATGATCGAGACTGTTCGACATTCCTGGCTGAATGTTGACGTACCTGTGCGCCGGTTCGTCCTTTCGTTTGAAATTTTGTAAAATCATCGGCGGACCCGACGAAGACTCGTCGGAATTCGATAACAGAGGCCTGCTACTCTCTACATCGGAGAGTCCAGTGCCTAATAACGTGTCTTGATTTTGTTTGTCGTCGTGACCATTGATGTCCAACAAAGGAGGACTGGATATAGCCACGGGACTGGATGTCGACGTGGATGATCGGGTCGTAAAGTTTTCAGGTGGCCAGGATAACGAAAACTTTCTGATATTCTCGTTTAACTGTATCTCTAGTTGTCCAGTGTGCTCGATTTGCACGCTGGCCAAAGGAACGTCTAAACACGGTGATAGAATTCGGGGATTCGTTGCTAGAAAGTCGACGATCTCTGGAGCTGTCGGTCTCTTTGTGTGGTCCGTTCTCCAGCAAGAGTACATCAAATTTTCTCTGTGAAATGGAAAAGTAGAGCGAATGTTTAATTATTAAAATTCGATAAAGGTTGAGTATGATGCGACTAAAGGATGAATAGATTGATCTTACAATTGTAATTTGACTCCTTTCGGAACTCTCAACGAATTCCCATTCTTGACGTGAGTGAGTACCTCGTTGTTGCTCATCCCTTGGAAGGGGAAGCTACCAAACGTGATGATTTCGTAAAGAAGGACGCCATAGGACCAAACGTCCGAAGATGGAGTGAAGATTCCAAGGCCCAGGGACTCTGGTGCCATCCATCTTACTGGCAGCATGCCTAAAACGAGAATCGTTCGTTTGTTAATCAGCATTCGCGAAATCGAAGCCAGTGAATTTTTTTGGTAGATTATAATAAAATCGATATAGTTATACCTCTTCGATTAAATTTGTAATAGTCGTTCTCGTACATAGGTCTCGTCATTCCGAAGTCGCCAAGTTTGACGATGCGTTGAGCATTTACCAGGCAATTACGAGAGGCAATGTCTCTGAAAAAGTAAAATTAACCCGTGACATCAAAGCAAGGATAATTATCGCGTTGATAATTGCACTCTCCGACAGCCACGATAAATCGAAGTGTTTGCACACGATACACGATCATTACATTTTATTTTCACTAAGTATGCGTGCCTTGTGAATATAAAATCATTAGTTGTTAGTAGCGCAAATTTGAAAAAGGTATGCGTTTATATAAGTGAATATTAAAAAAGATAGAAAGAAGATATATGAAAGAAGTAATTCTGAAACTTGAAATGATACATCAAAAATGTTTATCAAAAAGAGAGATTTAGAAAGTTGATACAACAAAGTCGACCGTTTCATATATTACCCAGTTATTAAGACTGTTTACAATTTTTAGTAGATGATATTTTGCTTATTTTAATCGTTTATCTTAGAAAATTAAAGTTTTCAACGTACCTGTGAACATACTTCAATTGAGCCAAATAACTGAGAGCCCTACCCACGTCCAGTGCCATCGCAGTTAGTTTTTTATTAGAAATCTCATCCGAGTCTTCGTAATTCTGATCGTTCACGAGATGTCTTCTGGCGAGAAGATACGTCTTTAGATCGCCATAAAGCATGAACTCCATAACGGTTAAAACCGGCTCACTCTTAATGCATACGCCCAACAGTTTGATTATGTTCTTATGCTCGAATCTTTTCATTACTTCCACCTCGCTGAGGAAGTCTAACTTCTCTTCGGTAGAGCTTCCGAGTTTTAGAGTTTTCACAGCAACGGCCAGCCAGCCTTTTTCTGGGAATAACGCCTCACCACCATAAACCGTTCCAAATGCACCCTCGCCCAATTTTCGATTGATAACCACCCTGTCCCGAGGTATCTCCCATTTATCTAAGTCGGACGTGTCCGCGTGAGCAAAGTCTAGACCTAGAGACTGGATGTATTTTTCGTGTAGACGCACTTTCTTTTCGTACCTGTTAAGAAGGAGATTAGGATAAATGGATGCATAAAAATTCACAGTCTAGATTACGTATATTATAATATATTATAATATGTGAAATTTGTTGATTGCTCACTTTCTCTTGATGACAATGAAACCAATGATCACCAGTATCCCCAGTAAACCAAATCCAAGGAAATT